ATTATTTTGTTACATACACTTTATTCAATATACAAATATAGATAACTACTCTTGTGGTAAAACGGTTTTCTTCAAAAGAATTTGAATGGCCACACCAAAATGTGTCGGCACATTTATACAACCTATAATATCATTTTCTATCTATAATATTTAATAAAAGTATCGACATTTATATTTTCCTTGAATATCACTTTCTACCTGCAATCGGTCCCAAATGCTTCTTTACTCCAAAACCCCAAACAACACATAAAAACCTATCGCGATTACTGTAATAATAAAAAATTAGGGTTTCGACAACATACTTTTCGATTCGGCTGCAGCAACAAACAAACAAACTTCGCTTTAGAAACGCCTTCTGAAATGCAGCAACAATTACGCTTCGATTTCAAAAACTCGTCCGTTCTATCTATTTTCAGAGGATATTTAGCTTATATTTTCATTGGATATGTTATTTATATTTAATCGATACAAATACAAAAGTGTCGATACTTTTATTTCAGGTGTCGATACTTTCGAAAGGATAATTACCTATTTCTTTGAAAGTGTCGATAATTTATTACCCGTACTTACGAAAGTATCGACACTTTCAATATATCCGGTATCATTTTACCGGTTTTATCATTTTGATACATGTTTTATCATATTTTTACCTGTTATATCGTTGTGGATCGATATATATTTTTTAAAGTATCGACACATTATAGGCGCTAAAACTGCTTCTCTTTTAAATTCACAAAGTGTCGATCCTTATATAAAGTATCGACACTTTCAATATATCCGGTAACGTTTTACCGGTTTTATCATTTTCTTACCGGTTTTATCATATTTTTACCTGGTATATCGTTTTGGATCGATACATTTTTTAAAAGTATCGACACTTTATAAGACTTAAAACTGCTTCTCTTTTAAATTCACGAAGTGTCGATCCTTATATTAAAGTACCGACACTTTAAATGTATCCGGTAGCGCTTTACCGGTTTTATCATTTCAATACTGGTTTTGTCATAGTTTTACCTGTTATATCGTTTTTGATCGACACATTTTTAATTTGGATCGACACGAACCGACAAGTTAAGTTTGCCGGTTGCACAATTTTTTAATATTTCTTCATGACTTAGACCTACTACATTATTATTAGACAAAACATTTCCGGTAGCGCTAAACCGAATTTGGGTAAATATCTTTTAATGTATCCGGTAACGCCGTATATTAGCCGTATATTAACCCGTCTTTCCTGAGACATTCCCGAGCCTCGGTATACTAAGTTTAGGCTCTAATTGGGTACGTTTTGGACTCAATTGGGGTTAGGAAATATCTTTTTTAAAATTTATTCTTTTAAAAAAATCTCTTATAGAAATTACAGAAGCGAGAGTAGGGGCGCATAATGACTTGAGTGAGCAATTCGAATTTAACTTGATCAAAATTCGGTAAAAATTTGACTTGGGTTAACTCGATTAGAGACCTTAACGAGTTGAGTCGAGCAAAGTCTAATTCGATTCAATAAGTTCGTGAGCAACTCGTTAATTTTTTTAATAACTTTTAGTAGTTATCTTAAAAAATTATTTGATTCAAAAAATTATTAATTTACTAATAAATAATAAAAAAGATGATAAATTATTAATATATTAATTTTCTAATAAATAATTAAAAATACTAAAGTATTAATTAACAATTATTATTTTACTACACCCAAAAAATCAAACTCTAATTATTATTTTAATGCATATATGGTTTATTATTTTGGTGTTTAGACTTTCAGTTTGTTTTATACATTTTTTTTGATAATTTTTCAATTAAATTTATTAATTTATGTAATTATTAAGTTCTATATAGTATTAGTAGATTTTACTTATAGTTAAAAAAATAAGATAAAAAAATTTGGTGAGCTTAACGACCAACCAGTCGAATAACAAAATTTCTTAACAAATACAAGCCGAGCAAAATTTTATAGAGCTTAACAAGTAATGAGTCGAGCAACATATTTTTTTAACGAGCACAAGTCGAGCAACACAATTTTTTAACAAGCACGAGTCGAGCACTGCCCAACTCGCTATTGAATTACTCGATAATCACCCATAAGTGAAAGAGGTTTTAGATATTTTGTGCAAGGTAGGACACTAAACTTCGCTTCATACTTCATGCTTGTCATGATATGATGCTTTGTGTATTTAGTTTTTGCATGTTAGGTGATGTTGTGTAAAATATGCTCTAATATATCAAGCCCTAAGTGTTGCGATAAAAACCACCAAAACAAATCCAACTTTATGCTCATAAAACTTGAGAATAGTTACTCGAATTACCACAGTGGATGATTGCCATGATGAAGGATTTTCACTACGAATGATTACCTCAACAGAGGACTGTCATGACGAAAGACTCCCTCAACGGAGGGTTGCCATGGAAGAAGACTGCCTCAGTGGAGGTCGAGGAGTGCCTCATCGGAGGACTACCGTAATGGAGGATTGCCACGGCGTGGGATTACCTCAGCAGAAGATTACCACGGATGAGGATTTCTTCAATGGAGGAGTGCCTCAGCAGAGTATTGCAACAGTAAAGAATTGATATTGTCGGTAGACTTCATATGGGTGAACATGATAGAGATCCAAGTGTATACTCGACGATTGTTGATGTGGCCACATTGACCTTGTTTGATACTCAACCATGCATGGTATAGGATAAGAGACTGGGTATTTAAAATCAATGATATTTGATATTGTGTAGTCCAAGTTAGCACTGTACGTGGGAGTCGTGCGAGGTTTGTTTGATAATGTGTGGTCTGTACATTGCCCATTCTTTTTTCTAATGATGTGTGATCCAGAAGTCATATGTTCTAACGCATGCTGTGTGATCTAGGCATTGAATTTGATCATTGGTCCGATGTTGTGTGGTCTAAACCACAATGATTCGATAACTTTTTCTTGTGTGTGTGATACTGGCGCGTGATAGGTTGTTCTTGTAAGACATGCACTGAAATGATTCATGTTTGCTATTGCCTATACATACATGCTTATATTTATACTACATACTTATATTATGAATTACATAAATTATTATTATAGTGTAGTTGTGTGCCACTGAGTTTGTCAAGTTTAGAGTTTGAATATTTTCGTTCGCATGTGACTAGATTTGATTGCATTCAAAAACTTTATCAAATAAAAATTTCAGCATCGAATTGTGTTCATAGTATAATAACTTAGCTCTTATTTGAACTATGTATTTTTAAGACCTCATGTGGTTGATTTGATGGTATGTAAGTCTATTATTCTCATATATTATGATTTAAACTATATTTTTTTTTTGTAGACTCGAACTTGATACATTGTTTAAGCGATATCAAGTTGGTTAGTACTTGAACCAACCCCATCGGTTAACTACTACTTATTTTAATTTTTATGATGAAGTGTTTATGTTTTAAAGAATTTTTTAGTAATGGTGTTTTTAAAAGAACTATTAGTCACTTCAGTGATTTCATGTGATACTTAAGTCCTTTAAATTTAAGTTTGATCAGATCAGGGTGGTACATCTGGAGATTCATATCTCTCGACTTACTTTCATCCTTCGGAGTTTCACACATGTCGGTCAATTATTATTCTCTTAACAAGACCTTTTCAGGCAATCATATCCATTCAATCTGCCAGCATATGAGTATCATATCCATTCATGTGTGTAACTCCATTTTCTATTGGCCATCGATCGAAAACCTATTAATTATGGCTCTTCGTCTAAATAACAGGAAATCATTACTCTAAAACCAAAACAACCCGAATGTTATCATCAACAAGGACAGAGCCTTTCTAAAAGCAGATTGAAGAGAGCCACGAAGCTTCATAAGATTTTCCATGTCGTTTCAGGCAATTTTATTCATCTAGTTGAAGACTGGACTTCAAGACTTCACTATTCCAAACGTTTTCTAATGTCTTATTCTGAAAGACGATTATTCTAAATGTCGGCTCATGAGAAAGACCAAGACATTCCGGAGGGAGAACATAGAGAGCTAATCAAACTTTCGGTACGTTCCACTAGAGTAGGGTCCAATGTCTGAATTTTCAATTTCATTTCTGGCAAGGTCATATGAACAATGTATTCCATCTTCTCTTTAAATGCAAGCTTCATTGTTCTAAAACTAAATCCGACAGCCATGATATCTCAGGCTTTAATATCCTCGAGTTCAACTGTCTCATTTTCCTCATTTATTTATGTCTCTCTCCTCCAACTTCAGGAAATCCCAATAATTTCCTGAAGAGAGGATCTTATCTGTCTGTCGAAGACGACAAGGACCTGTTGATTTCTTCGGACAACAAGTTCACCTGTGGCTTTTATGGTGTTGGTAAAAATCCTTACTACTTCTCGATCTGGTTCTCCGGCTCCAAGGAGAAGACGGTTGCTTGGATGGCTAACCGAGACAAGCCCGTCAATGGAAAGGGCTCTAAAGTTTCTTTTCTTCAAGGTGGTGCTTTCGTCCTCACAAATGTCGATGGCTCCATTACATGGGAGACCAACACCAGAACCACAAACGCTCAAACTGCAGAGCTTTTAGATAATGGAAACCTCGTTCTTGACTCATCTGCTAAAGTTCTTTGGCAAATCTTTGATTTTCCCACGGATACACTTCTTCCTCACCAACACTTCACCAAAAGTAACAAGTTGATTTCCAGGTTAGGTGGAGGGAATTATGGCAATGGATATTTGAACATCTTTTTCGATATTGATAATGTCTTGAGATTGACATATGATGGACATAATTTTTATAATTTAAACATTTAATCATTATAATTTATTGTTTTATCTTGGGATGAACAAAAAGATTGCATGTGAAATATTGACAACATTATAATGATAAAAATATGATTTGCAATGTCACATATAACATATTGCAACAATTGTGGTAACATTACACCAGCAATGCTAGCATTGTCTTGCTTATGGTACACAATCTGTTGGTGCATTCACCAGGGTTTCTCTTCAACTAGTAGAGGTCTTTAAAAGCTTGTAATGCTTTGCTTTAAATTCTATCGTTTGTAGTTTAATATCCTTCCAATACAAAGGAATTGAACACAAAACTGTGATGATGGCATGATCATCAATACTTGTTAATTAACTAAACCTTAAGCGTAGCCCAAGTATACTGATACTAGATAGTTGATTGCAGTGCAGTGCCGGTTACATATACATTAAACAAAAATGCTACCACCCAGGTTTTTCATCTAATACATTGAAAGAGATATGCTTACCTATCTTTTATGCTTAACTGACTGCTTCCACTTTTTTACCGTGCCTTTCCGGGGTTCCTTGTCATCTGGTCGGGAAGCTTGATAGAATCATCTTAAGTGTCTCGTAGGTCATGAAGACGATGCCAACACCAGGAACCACTTTGTAGTACTCGGGTAGAATCCCTCTGTACAAGCCACCAAGACCTTCAGAATGGATTATATGCCTGAAAGTTCCAATCAATCCAGTGTTATAAACACGAGCTCGACCTGCAGCCCCTTCCAGTTGCATACGTCTCCGCACAAGATCAATAGGAAATGTCGCTGCAAATCATCAGTGATGAAAAAGAGAAGTCATGCAGCGATCAGAAACAGCTTCTAAATAATTACTAGAACAAGCTTCATATAAACTCCATGCTTGAGATCTGGTTGAAATTACCAAGTTCTAACAATTGAGATTAGGGGAGAGCAATCACTTTTCTTGATTGGATCAATTGGTTTCCATTTCTTAATTGACTTAACCGACCGCCTCCTGATTTAGTCGACTAACCAACCTAATCAAACCAACTTAACTTCAGTGAATTCAGCTGGTTAACCAACTTTCTTTGTTATGTTTCACTTATTCAATTAATTCCACATAATATTAGCAATTAAATAAGATCATATTAACAACTTAATCTTTATTATGAAGATATAATTTTGCATAGGTAAATTAGTAACCTTAGTCAAACCATATTACTCCCTATGTCCCACTAAATGTGTCTCTTTTGGTTTTTAAAATTGTCCCATTCAAAAATGCCCTATTAGAAAAGTCAACAAACAATAACATTTATATTTCCTTTTTACCCTTACATGTCCCACTCTGTTATACCTATCAAAATAAATATGTCAAATCTATCAATCACCTTTTAGGGATAATTTTGTCATTTTCCTTGGTCAAATATATCTCCTAAAACTATGTGCATAGTCAATATAAGACAAAACTTATGAGGCGGAGGGAGTAGTTGATTTCCCAACTACACCGAAATACAGTGAGCTGAGTCAAACCTAAAAGCAGGGTTGCACTTGCAGATTACTAACCTGTTGATGATGCAATGCCTGAGAGGCTGCCACAAGCAAGACTAACCATAATAGTTGAATCATCGGGCCTAAAGCAAAATCAATGGAATTCAAAAATAAGAAGATAGAAGTATAGAACCAAAATAATAGATCACATGCTACCAACCAATCAAAAGCAATAAGTATACCTTCGTAATTGCCAATGAGATCTCAAAGACTCATATACTGAAAAGCTTATTGCTATACTCGGTCCAACACCCTGCATCACACATAGCATTGCAGCAGCAATTAGAGATAATCAGATAAGAAAATAATGAAGTAAAGAAAAACAGTATATATATTATATACCAATAATGTTGCTCCAAGTCCTTTATACAAGCCGAAGAATCCCTCTTCCCTGCAAATGGTATGGAAGGCATGCCAAATGCCCCTGTAGTATATTGTGTTTCTCTGCAAAGTTCAGAAGAACAATTGAAATGGAGGGTAAGAAAAAAGTAGAAATGAAATACATACATGTATATAGAAAGAGGAAAAGATACAACATACAAAATCTTGGTCAAAGCATAGGCAAAGGGAAATGCAAGTGCCTTATTCACTCAGAGGTATTTAGTCATCGTACCTGCGCTGCGAGACGAGTCCTTACGAGATCCAATGGATATGTAGCAGAGGCAGCAGTCATTCCAGCCAACCCACCGCCTACAAAGTGCACACCAATATCAGCATAGGCACGTCCCCTTTGACTTTCCAGGCAGAGAATAGATTGCAATAACTGCAAAAACATAGGAATGAATGAATTGTGAAACATGTTTGAGAAAAGAAATACAGGCATTACTTAAGAAACAAAGGATCGGGACATACACTCTTGTAGCGTTCATAGGCATAGAAGTTGACTGCAGTGTAGGGAAGTCGATGAGCAATGGTAACCAGATTGCCTTTCCAGAATGCTTTGAACCCTTCTTCATTAATAATGCGTGAAGCCTCACGCCATATAGAAGCATTGCTCAATGCCGATACATCTGAGTGCATTCCTTGGACCTGAGAAAACAAGAGAACATCAGCATAAAGGTTAGATAGTTCAAATTCCCAGTTTAACGTAACAACAAGCAACCATTATTTTGAGATATATCATTCAAATTCATTAAGCTGCCACCATTATTCTGTCAATCCATGCTAAAAGTGAAAACTTTACATTGGTGCCTATACAATTACTCAACTGGTCAGCAATTTTTTAATAATTCGTTCAAATACATTAAATTGTGTTTCTTTCAAGAAAATTATCGCCTGTTTTATTTAAGCTATTTAAAAACAAAAGAAAGCTGATCTTTTACCTCATTTTTCAAAATTGAACCTTCAAATACAATCAAGAACCAAAATTTTAAAGCTGCAGCTTTCCTTTAAAAAGCCTCACAAACCTATTTATTCAATCCCCAGCTACACTTAAACGAAAACAACAACAATACGAAATACCCAGATCAAATTACCACTAAAAATCAATAAAAAGAAGCATCGTTTTCTAATAAGCCAAAGAGAAATTATAAAGCCAGACCTGAAACAAGATGGTTAGACGGGCAAGAGGAGCCGTACAAGTCTTGCTAAAAGCACCGGCAATACCACCGGCGAGAAGCTGTTGAATGGTCCCAAGCTGCGGATTCAAGTCCTGCTTCGAAGAATGCCCATGTTGCTGTTGCTGTTGCTGTTGCTGCTGCTGTAAAATTCTAGCCCCAGCATCTACGACAGTTCCGTGGGCTGAATTCAAAGCCCTTTGCCCTCCTTCAACCACCACCCCGACTCTTGCCTCCACATTCATAATCTCTCAAAAAGCTCTATCTTTCCTATAAGAAATAATTTTTTTAAGGTTTTGGGTTTGTGGGATATTGATGTCACATGAATTTGAAGGAAGACATTTGGAAAAATCAAGGAAACGAAAACAGGGAAGTTATTTGCTCACTTTGGTGAAGTTTGAAGGAAAAAGAAAACGAGAAACCCTAGAATAAGAACTACAACCCTAGGGGGACAAATAATGTTTTTTTAAATTTTGATTAAACTACGTAGTTGGTCATTATACTATCAGTACAATTAATTTTCATCACTTACTTTTAAAACCTTATATTTATGTCACAAAATAGATCGTTTTGTATCATTTCAATTTTGTGCCGTTAGAGGATGAGATGGTAGTTTAATAATTGGTATAATAGAACATTTAAACACTCAATTAATACATTTTATCATTTGATTCATAAAATTGGCTCCTTGGCTTTGCCAAAAAGATAGGGATATGTTTATAATTATGAATTGAATTGATAAAATATATAAATTTTGAATGTTAAGTGTATTATTATATACTCTAATAAAAAAACCTGCTGTACAATAACTGAAATGATATAAAATAATTAGTTTAATGATAAAAATATAATCTTATTTATAGTTCAATGACTGTTAGTGAAATTTCCTCTTATATGTGGTTTGGAATATACTTTTGATCCTAAAAAAATTAAAGTGAATTAAAATAAATCAATTAATACACCACACATTTTAATTTTGTTTGCCTAATTTTGTGAATGAAAAATGTGTGGTTATAACTTGAGGGATTTGTTTCCGTGGAGGATTGATGTACACACACTATAAAATAATTGAACATTGACGTGATGGCTCACCATCAATCTCTCATGAAATAAACGTTCAAATTATATCTTTATAATTTTAAAGTTACATCAATCAATTTATCTATGAAATAGGTATTCGATTTTTTAATTAAATTTATAAGTTTAAATTTTAAATAGAGTAAACTGAGTTAGAAAGATTACTTTTATCTCTGTAATATTTGATTTGGATTAGTTGATCAATAGATCATATATCAATAGTTATACAAAAAAATATTTAAAGCTAACCTATTAAATTTTGTTTGATTTATATTATTGTTGTTATTTTTTATTAATCTAGGGGATTATAAGTGATAATACATATTGTAAAACTTTTAATTATTGATAATAAATATTCAAATACCCTATAATCGTTAATGCTCAAATTCGAAACTTCTAGAGATAATAATCAACCTTTTAGCTAATGATGTTGATTGGTTCGTATGTATTTTTGTTGTTGTAATAAAAAAAAGTTTATGTGTTTAAATATTTTTAACAACAATTATCTTTTATATAAAAGTTTAAGAGAATCATAAATCAAAAGATCTCAATCGTTAAATGAATAGTTGTAATTTCTATAGATATCAAGTTTAAATATCATCGACTGCAATGTATTTAAGTGTTTATTGTTAAATGACGAGAAAATTTAGATTAAGAAAATTTCTATTTGACTTAAAAAATTTAATTTAATTAGTCAAATTAAATTAGTGAGTCAATTTTGACTTTTAATAAAATTAAATAATGAATAGAAGCTATTAAATTTGATTATTTTATGATTTGATTCTTAATTTTATTATTTCTTCAAATCATCATTCATTTAAAATTTGTTTTAACTAAATTTAAATTGTATGCTCCTAAATCACTATAGAATATATGATAATTTATATTAAAAAAAACAAATTTCCTCATTTTGCAATTTAAATTCTCAATTTTGTATGTTTTTTTTAATTTCTCTTTAATTTTAAGTATATTTTGACCAACTTTGAATAATATGTTCCACTACCACGGTAAAATATTTATGTAACTCCAATTTTTATTTTTAATTGTAATTTTTTATAATTTAGTCCCTCAACTTTGTGTTTTATTCAATTTGATATTTCGACCATAATTTCTTGTGCAAGTTCTTTCTTCTTGTCACTTTATTACCTATTTTATACTCTAATCAATATTTTATCCTAAAATTATATTCTTTAAAAAATATTATAATTATATTTTTATAATTTTGATAGTATTTAATTTATAAATAGTGTTACAAATCGTACTTACATATGTGAAGAAGTATATCTTATATGATTAGAGAAGTTTGTTTAAATTGGAATTAATCTATATATCAAAATTTTATAAGTTTATTAGGTTTAAAGGTCACTATTGCCCCTGTAGTAGACATAATTTATCAATTTCACCCCTATCGTATTTTCACATCAATTTAACCATCGAAGTTGTTTAATTGCATTATTTTATACTGTTGACTGTTTTGACTAACAGAACCGTTAATTTCTGCTTATGTGGACGCTAATTGTTTTCACGTCATATAATATTACTAATATGACTAGATGATGATATGACATTTATAAAATTAATAAATAATGTTTTAATATTAACTAACCTATTATGGTTAAATCAAATTTCTACCCAAAAATCCTTAAATTTTTTTCCTAATCTCTTAATCTCGAAAGTGAACGAAGAGAGCAAACAAGTTCCCAAAATCAAATCTCGAAGAAGAAATTTCCCCCCGACTGCCATCGTGCTCTTACCTTTCATCGATATTTTCCTCCTAGCTGCTCGGGTTTTCCTCTAGTGAAAAATATGGAAATTCAACGAATCTGAAGAGATAGAATTGGGCCACCAAAACTCGTTTGATTCAGATGATCTGGATGTGTTCAGCATTCCAGGCTTGCCCTAGGAGTTCAATTACAAAGAACTCGAATTAGCCACCGAGAATGTCAAGATCCAAATCGGAGCAGGTGGCTTCGGTATTGCATACACAGGCATACTCCCTGATAAAACTGTTGTGGCGGTGAAGAAGATAACGAATCTAAGCAATCAAGGCAAAAAAAAGTTCTGCATTGAAATTGCAGTAATCAGAAACATTCACCATGTCAGTTTGTTTAAACTGAGAGGATTTTGTGCCCTTGAGAGACAAAGGCTTATGGTGTACGAGTACATGGACTGAGGCTCATTGCATCGGCTTCTCTTCGGTAATGATCCGACCTTGAAATGGTAAGAGAGATTTGATATAGCACTTGGGACTACTCGAAGACTCGCGTACTTGTACGACGGTTGCAAGCATAAGATCATTCATTGCGATGTGAAACCAGAAAACATTCTTTTGTATGATCATTTCCAGGCGAAGATCTTCGATTTGAAATAGTCTGGAACACACAACGATGTCTGAAAGTCGCTCGAATCACATGGCGACTTCTGGAGTCATCCCTACAGTCCATATGATTTTTCATAGTTGTTTGGGGATTCAGATGTCTTCCAAAAATTGCCGAATAATCCAAACGTCTTCCCCACGTACCTAACAAACACCCTACCTATATAATAAAAAAATCAAAACATTATTGAAACAATTTTGTAATTTTTTACATATAATTATTTTATACATAAATTTTATAAGTTAAAATTTATTTATTTTAATAAGATGTGCTTATTTAAAGTTTAAGGTTTATAATTTAAGGCTTAAAAGATTCAAAGTTTTAGAATTAGGTATCTATTCACATACTAATTAAATGAATTGTAGCATATAAATATATGTTAAAAACGATTTAATTTAAATAAAATATGAGTTAAAAATATCAAGTATAAATGAAATGTTAAATTATTACAATTTGAGGTTTAAATATATTAATATAATTAGACTCTTTTTTTTCTTCATATTCGCATTATTTAGTATATCTGATTTTTTCTTTCTCTGATATCACTCTGAATCTTTGTTGATTTAAGAAGATCCTTTGTATCTTTACGCCATAAAGGAGTCGATTGTACTCTACGTTCAATGTCAATTTCGTCTTATTCTCTTTCGCTTCCTATCAAGAAAAATTCATATTCATATATCTCGACGATATGTAAAAGTATGTTTACATTATCCATATATTTCTTGTCATATATACAGACATAAATATATGATTATGAAGTGAGGGCATGAATGCTAATTATCTGAAAGGATCTGCAATCACATCATCAATCTTACATATTAATATCATAGCCTTTTTTTAATTATCCTAAAAGAGGTAAAATTGTACCAATAATTCAAGCAGATTGTTTATTTGGCCCAATAGATCAACTTCAACATTATTTTGCATTATACGCCATTTGTTACGGTGCACGACAAACTCGTTAAGCCCATATGGCAAGTTTGTCCAAATATTGTTTTTAAATAGATAGGTTTGTGGGCCCTGTAGGGTTGAATCTTTTAATATATCTCTCGAAACTCGTCATGTGAATGTGACGATTTCTATTAAAATATATTCAACTATATTTTTTAATTAAAGTAATTTATATTAATTAAAAAATATAATTTTTTTTAAATGTAACTCGTCATGTTACGTGAGGAGTTCCCTTTGAATTTCAAATTTATAATCGTTAATTGAACATTGGGAAACCAACATAATATTTTTAAATTCCATTGAAACTCGTCATGTGGGCGTGATGAGTTCCAACTATCATATTAGTTTTTTTTTTGTATAAACAAGAGTGAGTTGATGGTGTTTGTATGAGAAGTGAGAAACGTCATTAGAATCAAATCATAAATAAGTGGGTATAATTTAGTGAAACATAATTATGAAGGTTTTATCGTCCAGTTCGATATTTAGGAAGATGCAGACAATGTTTTATGTTGTAGCCTTCACCTCTATAGTGACCACAAAGCTTTGGTAGACCTTGCTCTCTTTGAGGATCATCCATATAAGTATGAATTCAGCTAGATTCAGGTCGACCTTTCAACTTTTTACGTAATTCTAAATTTGGTGACCATTCTTTAAAAATAACTGGTGTAGGCCAATAAACATTGTTTCAGATATACTTAAACTCATTGTTGTATATGTTACACATAGCGTACATACTATAATAGTCATCTTCATAAGAGTATGTGCAACATTAACGTGTAGACATGCAACGACAATATGAGCACATAAAAATCTAAAAGCTTGAAATCGACAACAATCAAACCATATTTTATTTGGATTACTAGTGCATGTGGTAGAATTGTCTCTCTCATGTGATTGAACAAGTTCTTGGACAACATAATAAGAATCAAGTCTTGAAAAATTATGAACAAACATTGATATTGCACGTGTTTGATTTTTTTGCATTGC